TGATGCCATGACTTGTAGTGATTTCTTGCAGCACAATTTCAATACTTTGGTTTTTTTTTTTTGCCGCCCCCACAAAAAATGGTCAAGAAATTAAAAATCTTTAACTGATTTTACCACTTTTGAAATATGCGAAGTTATTCTGAATCCTGTTTCCGGGTTTACTTGCTGTCAAATTATAGCCATAATGTTTTTTTTAGTTCATAATGTGAAGGCACAAAACACTTTCCAGCCTCCTTAAGTAAAAAACAGACTTTACAACCGACTCCCCGAAGAGAATCTTCTCTTCAATGAGTTTCGCTCAACACTCACTACCACTACACATACAACACTCAACTCATACATGTTAATTTTTAATTTTTTACGGTGGGAGGAATACTAGAGAATGAGAATYCGAAGAAAAATCTTTGTGATGAGGGAGAACAACATATCAAACAAACTCACCTTACACTACGGTCGGTTCAGTCAAGTCAGTTGAGTTGAGTTGAGTCACAACCAATAGTCCCTTTCACAGTTCCCTGTGCCATTTTGAAAGGTAGCCGTGCCTTTGCATCGAAGCGAGACGAACGGTGAGCTTGCAATGATAGAGACCTTTTTAAACACCTTGACAATTATTCACATGTCTCTATCATTGCAAGCCCACCATTCGTCTAGCTTCAAGATGGCGCAGGGAACTATGAAGGGGACTATTACAACCTAACCCTCTCTTCCAGTTTCCTCTTCTTTTGCCTCAGTCCCCTCCTGCTTGTGATACCTGATACTGATCCTACGTCTTGTTTTCACAGCTACAGCGTCGTACAGACTTCTTCCAGAAATAGTGATCACAAAACCTTGTGAAGATGAGCTCGCAGACAAACTCGCTTCTTGCTTCTCGAAAGGCGTTATCAAGATAGCAAATGAGAATGGTAAAAGAGTGTTACTATGCTATATAGAAGGGTTTGACTGCACCCATGCTGCCATGTCGTGGGGCAGGAACAACACAATGTTTTTGCTTTCAAGAGATTCTAGTCCCAGAAACAAATCGTTTATTGTTTTACTCACGAGGCCTCATGTCTGCCATAAAAGCCTTCTATTGCTTACTTTCAATCACGTGACAACAAATATGCAACTAGCGACTGTTATGTCAAAACATATCAAAATACTATCACAAATGAAGATAACATCCAAGCTTACGAATTTTAAAATCCCCCCACGCACACATTACGTAGTTTACTGTTGTTGTTATTCGTTGCTAGTTGCGTGCGAATGCTTGGCTAATAACATTTGTAAATATACCTCGAAGAAAAATAATTCTTTAAATTAAGTCTTGTCAAATAATATAATCAGGGTTCGTGCTACTCCTTAAACTCCTTGAAAACTCCTTGAATTTAATTCACGTTTTCAAGGGCACTTGAAAAGCTCTTGAATTTTATGATTTTAGCGAAACTCCTTGAAAASTCCTTGAATTTTTGCTTTGATCATTACTTGCATTGTTCTGTAATAGATCTAGTCAGAAAGATTGGAAAATCTGAAAGTCGGCCATGTGCAACCACCGTGTAAAACCTTGGCATAGTTAGCTGAACATACTCCTTGAAAATTCATTTTTGGGCCCTTGTATACTCCTTGAATAGTCCTTGAATTTTAAGTGGTTACCTCAGCACCAACACTGATAGAGTGAATTCACTAAACCCGTGAAGTAGATATTAGACTAATACACCTTAGTAGCCCTCAATTCCATTGTTTCCTTTGTGTCTATTTGAATATTACATGTTGACTAGTATTTTTTATTTCAAGAATTAAATGCCTTCACTCTAATGGTAATGACTATCTACTGCTGTCTTACAGGAGTAAAAAGTGCGTACGTTGCTGATGCCAGACGGGATACATGTAGTAGAGAAGTGCTGAGACATGACGATCTGAGAGACCGAGTACGACTGTCCCGTATTCGGGATCACTTTATTTGTAAGTATAAAGATGGTAGAATTTAGCCATTCCTTGGTTTCTCAGAAAATTGTTAACGAGTAAACTAACGCGTGATAATCAAGTGGGATGTTTTAGCGAAAAGCTTAGCAAGCGTTTTTGAAAAACAGACCGAAAACCAAAATAAATCTGACTTGATACAAAGACTAAAACAAGTGTAACAGGGGAAAAAAGCAACTGCAAAAAAGGCTTCTTCTAAAACAGCAGGTTTTCGGGCACTGTGATTTAATGTTGCTGGCTAAAAATTCCCGACGAATAAACCGTTGCTTGCCATTCGTTTTCCCTCAAATAGACCTCTTCGGCTCTGACGTAATATTTTCCCATTTCAGACCACATGTCATTCCCTAGAGTATCATTTCTTTGTTTAAGGTTTGCTCTCGGTTGCACATGAGAAAACACATGAATATGGATACAGCCGTCAAACAAAGAATCTTATTCTCAAGGGAATGACACGTGGTCTGAAATGGGAAAACATTTCCCCAAGCCGAAGAGGTCTATTGACTTTGCTCAGGCGGTAGCTCAGTAGAACAAGAGATTTTCCCACGCGTAGTCTTGCATTCAAGTGCTTGAGAATTAATTTATGCGGGTGAAACAAAGGTTTTTATTGTCATGAGAATGCACTTGTCTGCCGCGTGAATAAGGCCCATGATATGAGGGGAGGGGGGATCGTCAGACTAACCAGTTGGCACTGTCTAACTCACTAGGAGATGCACGCTAGACCAGTATTTGTATGAATGTAAAAAGCTTGCGGCATGATCACGGTCGTGACACGGCAAAGCATACGCCAGCCCAATCACATAGCACGAGAATTTACCCCCCATCCAATCAAATACCCGGAACACGGCGCGAACACGGTCACGCCAAGGTCACGGCACTGCCATACCAATCACATTGTGCAAGATAACAATAGACCGTATTCGAATTCCAAGTTACCGCTGTGTTTCTTGATTACAGACTCATTTGCACAGGGTTAGCCTCGTATCATTGTCTAAATATTTAGATCTTATTAACCGAGCGGGAGGTCTGTACGGGATAATCTTGATCGAGGTCGGAATGTACAGACCGAGCGCAGAGAGGTCTGTACACGAACGAGGTCAAGATTATCCCGTACAGACCGACCAAGCTCGGTTGATAAGAGTTTTATTATATGACCACTTTTCATTGAAAAGAACAAAATGTTTTCGCCGTAAGATTAATATGCGATCGGACCGGTTAATACCGGAGAATCTAGACCAGTCCGCGATGCGATCTATCCAATCAGATAGCTCGATTTGCTAGTGTCCAGGCTCTAAGATTCACGGTCATATAATAATCACAAACACCAACGGTAAAGTAAAGAATGCACAACTTCAACAATACAAACACTTTGAAGCTCGACGGACCTTGACTGCAACACGTGAATATTCTGCACAAACTCGAGGCTAACCCTGTACAAATGAGCCTGTAATCAAGAAACACAGCGGTAATTTGGAATTCGAAACGGGTCTATTCCGCTATTAGAATCCTAGAAAAAATCGCAACAAGGCACGCAAACGGCACTGTCTTTTTCACAGTCATCTCTGATGGGCGCGGAGGGTCAAGAGTCGAACGAAGTCTCTGGGGGTTGGAAGAACACGTATCATTAGTTTTACTAACCGTTATCATTCTCATTTTGCAGTTTCAATAGAGTCGACAGGAGCATTGCGCCCCGATATTCTGATGTGCGAAGCCATCAAATGTTTAAAGGAAAAATGTCGTTTGTTCCTGGACGAGCTGGATTCAAACATAGACAGCTAGCACTACACTAAACATGTTTGGTAACAGCATACAGACATATAGTATGTAATATATTATTGTATCAAATAAAATAGAACTTTGAACAATATATACACAGTATTTTTCGATTGCACGTTGCGTCATTGCGGTTATGTTGGTGGATACCAACAAGCACCAAGATGACCGCCATTTTTTTGTCCTTTGATTCTTTTGAAAATGCTTGCAGCTCAACAATAGATGCACGAATGCAGATGTAAAAGATATGGTAAATTTTGTACTCTTCCCTAGTCTGATTATCAAAACCTCAATAGACCTTATTCGTGGTGTGACAATGTTTTTCCAATTCAGCGTGACAAACCTCTGGGGGAATGAAGAGCTATTGTTTTGAAACTCGTCGGGATATCATCGTTATTCCTTTCGTATCCTTTGGGATATTCATGAATTTTTCGAAGAGTAAAAACAAAGAAAATGAATCCCCTGGAGGTTCGTCACGCTTGATTCCTTTTATTCCTTGTACGTTGTATAAACGATAAGCACGTTGGCGGATCCAGGTGGTAGTCACAGGGTTCTCATGAACCCCACCCCCTCCCCTCGAAAGAATTCTTGCCTATTAATAATGCCCAATTTGACTAAAATGTTTCTCAATGTTCAATTTTTTAAATAATGTGAACCCCCGATCCACTCGAAATCTTGCATCTGCCCCTGAAGCAACTATAAATAGTTAGTCTGTCTTAGGAAGATCCTATCATATGTTAGGCTCCTTTACAGACGTTCCTTGTGTCGTTCCCTAATGTCTTTAAAGGAGGCTAACTCAACTGAAAAATCATTATCGGGTTCAAAATCATATAAAACCTACAAGCTGAGACCGAAATGGTACATGGGAAGTAAGTTAATCAGAGTATCTAGTGATACAACTCGTAGAATATTCATTGATTGTTACACTGATATAAAGCAAGTAGGCTTTTAGCACGTTTCATATGGACTGTATCTTCAATGAATACATTGGAGGATAATGATGTCATTTCCCAGCATAACTTTTGGTCTCAGCTTCTATGTTCTACGGTTTTGAACCCGATAATGAGTTTGCAATTGCTGGTCTTCAATCATTCCCAGGGGCTTGAAATAACAAAAGACACGGTGGTAAAGTTGGATGCTACAACAAAAGAGACTAGCGTCGAATCTTTTTAAATTCATCCAAAATGGCGGCTGTGAAAACCATTAATTGAAAATCATTAATTATTTTCACGAATGCTTAGCCGTTGTTCGCTTGCTTCAATTCCTCACAGCTGTGGAAAGGATCAGAATTATCCTCAGGTATCCTCTCATCATATTCTCCCAGCTCCTTGTTGTAATCCCCGTACTTGTATTGCAGTATTTTTCTCCAGTTACCCGGCACGGGGAAACGAAATCCTTCAAACAACATTTCTTTCAGTGGGAAAACTCTGCTCAAGTGATATGGATGCATGGTGTCTTCTGCGATGAATATGTCAATCATTAGCCCATCGGCCCATCCACAGCCATATGCCAGACAAAACTTTGTACGACTCTTCGTGTCTCTTAGCCTTGGGTTCCATAGTCGTCGATAAAGCCCAACCACTGGGTGTCTCAAAAGGCGATTTTCCGTCTCATTCTGTGATTTTAAATAAGGATCTGTCTCCGAGCTCTGAAAAAATATTCCTTCTGGGAAATCATTTTTGCAGCATTTGAAGAGTTTGATGTACTCATCCAGTGTCATCTCAATGTCAGCATCTTCGTCCCATGGTATGAAGCCTCGATGCCGTGCAGCACCTAACAAAGTCCCGGATGTAATCCAATATTTGATGTCATGTTTCCTAGCAACCAGGTCAAATATCTTTAGAAGTCTCGTGAGGACGAGCTGAGTGCTTCGTAGTTTATTATATCCTTTTCTACGAATATCAGGGCAGTCAAATCCTCCCGGTACTTTCTTGTCTATCTTGCAGTATCCGCCGAGATCCGTGTACAGAGTCGGACACATTTGGCCGTACTCGAATGTAATGTTGCACAATTTTTTATTCTGTTGTTTGTTTTCTATTTTARAGTCCTGTTGTAAATCATTGATAGGTTTTACTGGTTTAACTTTCCTCGTATTTACTTCTCCGTATTGTATATGTATCCGGCTTTTGTCATGGGTTTCCCCGCTATAATTCGTTACATCACCTCTCTCCCTACCTGGGGGATTCTTACCGTCAGTTCCCCCGTTAGGTTGATTTTTCTGGTATTTTCGCCCCTCCCTTCCTCTACGTGGGGAACGTTTCTTCTCGTTACTATRTCTATTARATTGTTTTCTCCCTCTATTAACTCTGTTAGGCTTGGTTTTTCGGAATTCATCATTTCTGTTTCGATGGGTTCGTTTTTCAGCTACATTCTTTCCTCCAGTATATTTTGCTTTCAGTTTCTTTGCCTGGTTATTTATAGAGTCCAATTTAACTGGAACCGCCTTWTTTCGAACATCAAGATTACTACTATCCATTTCAAAATGAGCACCTTTCCTTAATACTGGTCTCCACTTCATTCCATGTTTATCACCAACATATCCCCGGCCATTTTCCCCAGAAGACATTCCTAACGATTCTTCTTGGCCTGATGTGTCCTGTTGAATACCAGGGCTTCGCTCTTTTTTAGTGCGGTTCTGTCCTCCAAATTGCTGATACACATAAAAACTACTATTGCCAATAAGTAGGAAAATGAATATCGTTTTCTTTGAACGAGGTAGCATTCTTGCCATTGTTTTTTCAAGTGTCGTTCACAGCTGAAATTCAAAGGATATCCAAACATGAACGATTTATCAGCGAGTATTATTGGGTGGTAATACTGTCTACTTCGACGATACGACGGCCAACTTTAAATTTTGGATCGCAATACATTATGGAGCGTCCAGGGAGAATAAATATAGGATTTTGTGATCGAGTAGAGAGTTAGTTCGATTTAAAAGCCGCGCCCAATACACATTCGGCGCCCTTTAACGGTAGGACGCCAGGCAGGGAGCTTTCAATGGTACATTTATAGCAAGATCTTAGTTACGGACGATGTGCTACCAAGAATTAAAACTAATTTGTTGCACACGTATTATCCATAATTTAAAAAATAAAGATGAACCCCTTCCAATGTTTCTGTGTGCTTTTAAAAAACTTGGTGGGTAGTTTTGGTTTGGCACACCTAGCCACGCTTATGCTCTTTGCTGGCGTTACAAGACTTTGTACACAGAGCTCAGCAAAGTGTAAGCGGTGCAGCCAGCCGTAACAGTACGCAACAAGGAATAACACGGAAGTCAAGCGTGAATAATCAACAAGCAGCCCTGAGAGAAAATAGTTGTGAGCGTCCTTATTTTCATTTTACTGCCTTAAAACCCTTCAATGCATATGAAATTAAAGGAAAGTATTTGTAAAAGATACATCTTTTAGTGACTTCATTTAGAAAAAATCGTTCGACGATTTTTTGAATGCCACTTTCATCGATATTTTCCATCGCTTTTGACAGCGAATGGGGCCATTTAGCTTCATATCAAAAAATCCATAACGTTAGAAAGAGAGTCACAATTTGATTCATACTCAATAAGGACAGTGTCTATATCCGTACCTATATTCTAGCTACTAAAAATATTGAATCCACTAAATGAAAGTCACGATTTTGAGGGTATAAAGTTGACACGTTGGAAATAATAGTAAAAATCCATGAAAATATTCCTCGCGTAATATTTGGAGAACGCTCTCATACATTTTTTTCATATTGCAAAATGTTGGGTGCCTTGATGAATGCTATCGACTGGTGCAAGTCGCTTTGAAATTTTAGGTGTAGTTTTCGAGAAGATAAGCGGTAAACGATTTCTATGATGTCATCATTACGTCATAACGAAAAGGCCGCTTCAAACTAATTTATCATTTTTGAAACCTTTAATCCTTTCCTGACATTGTGTGAAAAGCGCTTGCAGATCGAGCTATTCAAGACGAAGTTGTAGCCGTTTCAATGCGGCTAGGTGTGCCAGACCAAAACTACCCACAGCCTCCTTTTAATTGACCACTCATCTTGAGTACATTTTGAGTGAGCACCCCTTTTCTCTGCAAGTTATAGTCCCACTCATTTTTATCAGCCCTAGCTATTAACAGACTGCTGCATTATGGTGTTTTTAGATCCGACTCATCTGCTCATCGCCATGTGACTCATGCAGTATGAGTAATCCATGTCGCGCCACGTTTTAATTCAACTATACAATTATAATAACACTCTTGATCCGATTAAATGATTTCTCTTTCCTTAGTGATATCTCATTTGATGCCTTTGCTTTTTGAGTTCTTCTCTATCTATATATACTCAGTTTGCAAATGTTTGTTGGAAAATAAGATGAAAATAATCGCTTCAACATCATAAAAGAATTCTACTGAATTTTAAAATTTTTTGAATTTTAATTAAAACTGAGTTAAACTTTCAGCCAGCCAATTTAGCTTGTCTTCAGTTTCTTATTCTTGTCGTTCTATTTCCATAATCTTTGCCGAATTTAGAATTGCTAGTTCTAGAATCGTTGCATTGAACTGAGCTTAAAAGAGTCGTGAGTTTCAGTATATATCATCATTACTGCAGCTGTGTTGCTACTCAAATATCAAAAGGTATACACAACGACTATATATTACCAGATTATAGTTAAACTGAGTTACACTTACCTTATCTAAATGAATTACAAGCGAACCAGAAGCTCGAAAATGATCTTAGGGCTTCAGGGATGCAAATATTAATTAATGTATTGATCTAAGACTGTTTTTGCTGGGGACTGAGTGTGTGGTCGAGTATAAATCGTTTATGTTATTATGCAAAGCCATACCACTTACATGAAGAGCTTGAATATATTTACATCGCAAATCCCAAGGGTGTGATGTCTTGCTTTATGGCGTTCTTTTATCGACACTTCTTTTCTTTTGCTAAACAAACACCTATGCCGCTTATTTGTTGAAATCAGATACCAGATGTCTTATTTAGCAGGGTTCAGCGTTTGACTACTCAGACTACTGCTTTGAATAAAACCGCCTACGGTGTGCACTTTTTACTAAGCGATTTCAAACAGGTTTTGTTGCATACTAAGCGCGAAATGCATTATTTGCGATGTGAATTTAATCAGGTCATATCAAAATAAAATATTTTCCAAAAGTGTTTGCTTGTTTTGGTCAGCATATTTTTCACCTTCTGTGTTTACATTATTTATACATGAATATAGCACATATGGTAAGCAACATGAAACAAAACCTTCACTAATCCCCCCC